CAAAGTTAGATTGCAAGCCATGTATTCAGATCATATGGAAGACATTATACATCAAATCACAAACCTGTGCCAAATTTGTGGTACGGATGATCTTTAGCGCTCAGATGTTTCTGAAGCTGCACAGAAAGAAATGCAATAATGAAGAAGGGTTTTCTTTCCTCCAAAGAAAAAGAATAAAAATTTGAAAGAGCTAAACAACACAGCTCAAACAGGTACTTAACGAATGTACAGGCTCAAGATCCACAAGATAAGAGAGAGAAACAAGCATAACATGGAACAAGGTCCCTCAATAATAACTTAAGGATATTACTTATTCTAAGATTTTTTTGGATAAAGAGAGAGAAACAAGCATAACATGGACCAGGTAATCTTATACATTGGTTGTACACCTAACGGTAAATCAATATAAGGTCACTCACTAATAACTTTAAGTTTTTAGATGATGACTGCACAATTCAATATGGTACAAGAGTAGGTACGACGTCCTGCACTCAAGTCTCACCGCCATCAATGAGCAGAATATTTCTTCGCCCTAAAAATAGAATCATGCCCAGCGTAAAGGGGCGCATGAAGACCTAAGTAAATAACTAAAATTCTCTAGTAGTTTAATCTTTTAACTGATGTGATCACACAATTGAACTTCATCTGTCACCTTCATCGAATCATCACAAGTACCAAAGGAAGCATAAAGCTGACTTACGAGTCCATATAAGTACCTGGTACACTCTGTGACCATCAGATAATAGGTTGTTTTGGTTCTCTGAAGATGACTCAGCAAGTTGCCACGGGCACAAGACAAAGACAGTAGAGCAATCAGCAGTTGATAATGTTTATAGGACTGAACACATCAACATTCACAAATCATGAAGCCTAACCAGAATCAACAGCTTTTATTTCCCTTGTTGTAGCATCAGGTGACATCAACGGTTTGACAAAAAACTGTGCAAATCTAAATAATGAAACACCATAAGGCATTTCATAGATACTCTTTCAAAGATAATAAGGAGTTAAATCCATACCTGTCCAAAGCTTCTTCAAAACAATCTGCATTAATGTCGAAGTGAAAGTTGGTGTTCTCGGAAGATGTAAAAGCATTGGTAGAACCTCCATGCTGAATCAATAATAAAAAATGAGGAGGAAATTAAACTCTATAAGACTGTTACCCGAAGGGAATTTGTGCAGAACTGCATTCATTAGTGCTATTAGTAATTTGCCATAAATATACCAGTTTCTGATACTAAGAGGTGACATTTTAAGAAAAAGATAACCATTCTCATGCTCCGAACCGCTCGGCTTGAGCAGTTAACTTAAAAAGTCTGAGTTGCTAACTACTAGGACGTCCCTGAGTCAGATAGTTTAACCAAGTTGACAGCCATGAAAGATGATATGTCTTACCCAAGTTGACATACAGGACAGATGATAAATGACCACAACTCTTTTTTGCTTTTCGTTATTTGTTAAGGGTGTTTGTAGGGTGGCTATTGGAGACAAATAGTGAAAAGTTTGGTTGAAAATCCAAGGGAAGACTCCAGGGTTTGGATAGGCTCTCAGAGAAATGCTTGGTTTTCGTGACATCTAGTTAGTTGATATACTCAGCAATTTCTACATTTCAAGATCGTCTTTGTTCTATTCTAAGTAACTAGTTCAAATTAAGCTAGGACATTTTTGATACCTAATCTCCTCTTAAACTAGGACATCTTTTATATCTAATCTCCTCTTAAACTAGGACGTTTTGATATCTAATCTCCTCTAATTTGACACTTCGTCCAAGTTAAGCTAGGACATTTTTTTATGTCTAATCTCTTAAAGTCCTAGCCATAACACACTTGTCTATGCATTATCCCAATCTCCTCTCTTATCAGGACTCAGCTGCTATATGAAAAATAAGATAAGAGACTGCAGCAACACATTAGCTTTCCATGTATCACCATCAAATTTTTATAAATCCAACGGAAGACTCCTAGCTTTCTTCTGATCCGAGACAATATTTCATGCTAACATTCTAACCTTCCCCTCAAATTTCGGGGTGGAGCAAATTAATAACTGAAGCATATGCAAATAGTTAAACCACCATCATGTATCACCATCAAGGCTCAATAAAAGAGCCCATGGAAACTATCAAAATTGTACCCAAACATAAAAAAATCATGACACAGATAACTATCACTTCTCGATAGTCTTGAAGACAAGATAGATGCAAGAATAAGCAGTAGGAAGAAGGAACAAACTGTTTAACCAGAGTAGAAATTCAGGAAAAAGTAAATCATAATTGCCAATAGATAAAAGAAGATACCTGGGTGATGTATTTTGAGTAACTATTCTCCACAGGATACTTCTCACTTGCATAAAACAGCATATGTTCTGCAGTGTAGCACATTAAGAATCAGTATGCACTTTTGCCTCAAGGAAAAATATGATACTAAAATAGCAAACAATATAATGGAATACCGTGCAAAGGGTGCAATTAAAAACACATCAGCTTTGCAGGTTATTAGAAGTTAAAATTCCCACCGCCTCAGGAAACACCTTTCAGGTTCACGGAATACTGCTGCATAGCACCCAAGCTACAACAATAACTACGCCTCAGTCTCAAACAAGTTGGGGTCGGCTATATGAATCCTCACTGACCATTCCATATAAGCTCATCTCAGGCCAATATTACACAACACCAACAAAAAGAAAACAAAAAAAAGAAGAGAGAGAATAGCACCCAAGCTACAGGAAATAAAACCTCTGTTTGCTCCATTAAAGCCCCAAATTCTTAGTTCAACAACTCGTTCATAATTGATTAAAAAATGCAGCATTCTCCAACGTTACTTCAAGAACAAGACTCAATACAATACTAGGTGATTTTTTTCCATCTGCCTAAGCTTGGTAGGTGGTGGAAGGTAGTAGATATCCAGAGAATAGTCGAGGTGCTGCAGAGGCGGAGCCAGAATTTGAAGTTTATGGGTTCTGAACTTGCCACCAAATCCATAGCTTGTTTTACTACTAGGTTCGCAATTTAAAATTTTACATATTTAATGGATTTCCTAATACAAATACAGGATTTAAGCAAAAGCTACCATACTAGCTCCGCCACTGGATGCGCACAACTTGGCCCGGACACCACCGTTATCAGAAATGGCAGTCCGATGCACTAAGCTCTCGCTATGCGCGGGGTTCGGGGAAGAGCCGGACCACAAGGGTTTATTGTTCGCATCCTTACCTTGCATTTCTGCAAGAGGTTGTTTCAACGGCTCGAACTCGTGACCTCGAACCCGTGCAACCTTACCAGTTACGCCAAGGCTCCCCTTCCACCGTTATCAGAAAGAAAAGGAAAAAAAAGAAGAACTAGAGCTAATACACTAGCTTATTTGACTAAGATTTGAAAGAGCTAATGCACTAACTTAACTTACCAAGAAAATGAGCAAGGCCTTCAAGACCCTTAGGATCACTATAATATCCCACAGGCACATCCATAGAAGCAGCACACTGATCCAACAACATAAAAAGGTGAATTTATACAAGAATCCAACTCAACAAAATTCATATAATTTCAATAAAAATAGTTCAAGAAAAACCTTGTCTGTTTCAGGATCACTGATGAGGAGGACTTCAAGACAGTTTTGAAGGACTATTCTTCTATACTCCCTCTTATCTGAACGAGCCTTAAAGATCTCCACAGGTTCTTCTACTGAGCCTACAGCCATTTTTTTGAAACCCCAACTGCTCAAACGCACAAATTTTTAAGTCCAGGAATGCAAATGGGTATTTCAAGAATCAATGAAATAGAGAAAAGGAGAGTAAAGGGTAAGCGCAAAATGTGAACTTGGTTTAAGAAAATCTGTTTTCTTGAATATAGAGAAATTTCTTGTGCTCTTGCTAGAGCAGAGCAAAGACTATTGGTTCGTTGGGTTTGTTGCAGCCTAATATAGGAGAAGCAAGTGGTCAATGCCTAGTCGTCGTCTGTTGTAACTCTTTAGGCGTGTTTGGTAGGGTGTATAAGAATAGTGCGCAATAAAGTATATTAGTAATGCATGGGTTAGTAATGCAAGTATTAGTTATGCAGACATTATTTCTTATATACTCTTTCGTGTGGTGTATTAAAATTATAATGCATTGCATAGTTTTTAAGAAAAATAGTTGTTTACAAAAATGCCTTCCATATTCTCTAGCTTTAAGGGACTTTAAGGACAATTTTGTCTTTAATCATAGTAATGCATGCATTAATAGCCTTGGTATTACTAATGCCATGGTTTTCTATACATTACTTATGCATAGGATAATACCAAGTATGATGTTACAAGTATTAGTTATACATAGGTTGAAAAAATGTACCAAACAATGTATAAGTAATGCATAAAGCTAATGCTTGCATTATTTTTTCTAATACCTCCTACCAAACAACCCCTTAAAGAGATGAAAGGTCTACTTATCCAACAAGCAACACACTAGATAGCAATGACATGAAGCCCAACAATAACAATCTTTCCGATAAACTCAATAACCAGCAACTAAAAAAAATCATAGCACCAAGCAATAACAACAACCAGATAATAAGAAATCGAAACAAAAAGAACAACAGTTAAAAAGGACTAACACGCCCGTTTGGACATAAAAAAATCACTTTTATTCGAATTTTTTTTACTTTTTTCCGAAATCAGCGTTTGGCCATAAAATTTTCAATTTTCACTTGAAGATTTTTCGAAAATTTGAAAAACTCCTAAAAGCTATTTTCGAAATTTCCACTCAAATCACTCACAAAACATCAAAAATAACCCAAAATAATATTCATATCCAAACACAACTCTAACTTTCAAATATCATTTTCACTTGAAATTTTTTTTCACTTTTTTTGGAAACATATCCTCGTTAAGCTGAAGTAACGTCATATACTGCTTAATCACCTCACACTAATACTTCTTTGGCTTGCCTCTACCTCTTCTCAGCCCATCTACTGCCAACCTCTCACACCTCCTTACTGGGGCATCTATGTTTCTCCTCTTCACAGGCCCAAATTATCTAAGCCGAACTTCTCGCATCTTGTCCCCCACCGGAGACACTCCCACTCTGACTCGGATATCTCCATTCCTAATCTTATCCAACCTGGTAAATCCACAAATACATCGTAACATCCTTATCTCTGCTACTCTCATCTTCTGGGAATGCGAGTTCTTGACTAGCCAACACTCAGCCCCATACAACATAGTCGGTCTAACCACCACTCTGTAAAATTTGCCTTTAAGTTTAGGAGGCATATCCTTATCACATAAAACACCATATGTTAGCCTTTACTTCACCCACTCTGCTCCAATACGATGTGTTACATCCTCGTCTATCTCTCCATTACCTTGGATAATAGACCCAAGGTACTTGAAACTATCTCTCTAGGGATAACTTGTGTATCAAGCCTCATATCTCCGTCCGCTTCACTAGTCTCGTCACTGAACTTGCACTCCAAGTATTCTATGTTGGTCCTACTGAACTTGAACCCTTTAGATTCCAGGGTCTGTCTCCAAACCTCCAGTCTCTCTTTTACACCTGCTTGTGTCTCATCAATCAGTACAATATCATCTGCGAATAACATACACCATGGCGCGTCAGTGTATCTATTGCCATGGCAAATAAAAATGGGTTGAGAGCTGACCCTGGGGCAACCCCATGACAACTGGGAAGTGGTCCGAGTCTCCCCCACTATCCTCACCCGGGTCTGGGCTCCATCATACATGTCTTTAATCACCCTAGTGTAAGCAACATGAACACCCCTAGCCTCCAAACATCTCCATAGAACTTCCTTAGGGACTTTGTCGTATGCCTTCACTAAATCAATAAACACCATATGTAGGTCTCTCTTCCTATCCCAATACAACTCCACCAGTCTCCTCACAAGATGAATGGTTTTCGTAGTTGAATGCCCCGGCATGAATCTGAACTGGTTTTCGGAAATAGATACACTCCTCCTTACCCTCGCTTTCACCACCCTCTCCAAAACTTTCATAGTATGGCTTAGCAACTTGGTGCCCCTATAGTTGTTGCAATTCTGAATATCGCCCTTGTTTTTGTATAGTGGAATCATCGTATTTACACCTATGTTTAACCTAAAAATAGATTTCTTGGTTAAAGTTAATATCAAAAAGAAATCGGGTTACTGATAACCAAGATTTACTTCACTTTCCCAATAATTAGAAGAATTAAACAAATAATAGAAATAACTGACAAGGAAAGAAAAATTGATAATCACTCACAGAATTGCGGTTAGAACCTTATGAATAAAGTAAGAATGATTGCATATATTTCAATAATAATCAGATGCCATTACAAATGAGGACTAAGTCCTTATATAGGAGCACACAATTATAATGGTTTCCATACTTAATTCGGGCTTCTTAATGGAATTAATTCCCTGACTTATTTATCACAGATTCGTGCACCTTCCTTCTTTGATGGTCTTTAAACATTCAGCTCCTATTTCCCCGTTGTCAGAGCTGGTTCCTTTCCCAGAGAAATCCCGAGGGTGTTTCTCCCGCGCTTTCTTGAATTCTTTAACTCGTCTAATTGAGAATGACACATGTCATCTTATTGATGGTCCACGTGTCATGCCTTGTCACCTTGATTAGTCCACGTGTCATGCCTTTTTTCCACTAATAGAGATAGTCCTCCACTTTCTGAATATTCTCAACTGAATATTCGGCAAGTGGTAAGTATTTATGGCGGGAATTCTTTGCCGCCGTTTCTCGAGTATCATAATACCTTTTTCAGAATCGATGCGACATATGTCACGTCCATTTAATACCCAATCCACATGGCTTACCTTGATTGGTTCTGCAGTTTTCAGTGCTTTTCTAGGGTTTTTCTGCGGCTGCATCAGTGACAAAGTGACGATTTTATTATGACAGTTCATAATGACCAATCTTGATGAGGGTTGCTTCTCCTTATAAATATTTCATCATGCTTGATTTTTTTGAAATCCTCTTCCTTCTTCTTGGTATTCATCTCCTTAACCTTCCCTCATACCCCTCTATATTTTCTTTGTCAAATATGTCTTCTTCAACACCAGACCCTCGTAAAGTTGTGATCGTTGATGAACTAGCTCCTTCTACTGCCCTTACTAGGAGTAGGAGAGGTGGCAGACTCCCTAGTCTTGGTTCATTATCTATTCGCAGTTTTTCTCAAAGTAGTTCTGTCAAACCATATTCTTCTAGGTCTAAAGCTCCCTTAACCCCTAGATCTTCTTCTAAGGGTAGGGATCAGAATGAACCCATATGTGAGCCTACGATTTCTGAGATTGTCCCTCAAGAGTTTTCTTTCGTGTCAGACCGTGAAGCCATAAAAAGTCAAGTTTCTTCCATTGCATCTCTTAACCCTGCTGAACATTACCATGTCTGATCTCCAGGACTTCTTTCTTCAGTCCGACGTGAATGTCATTGGAAACAAGATTTTCCAGTTTTATTCCCGGTGCCAATGAAAGAATCACTTCTTACCATGCTAGTTTTTCTTTTGTTTACACTTATCCTTTCACTTTAGGGTTTAAACCTCCCATTGACCCAGTGATCATTGAGTTCTATTGCTATTTCAATGTTTTCCTCGACCAAATCGACCCCATCGTGTGGAGGGCAGTTGCTTGCCTTCACTATTTGTCGGATTTGTTACTTTCCATCACTTACTTCACCTTTATTCTCCAAAATTGTTTCGTGAAGGTGTCGTTTCTCCCGTGGATAGAAGTAAAACGGTTTTAGTCATTCCCGAGGATCACCATGACCGTGGTTGGTGCACCCGATTTGTTGCTGCCCCCATTAGTGGTTTACTGGGTGACGAAAACCTGCATTTTCCTAAAAAATGGAACTTTTCATGTAAGTGTTTCTTTCTCTTTCTTTCTTTGATGTCTTGAGTTCCTTTACATGATCGTATATTCATTTTTTTCAGCAACCATGGAAGTTTTCGAAGAAATTCCTGACTTCCGTGCTTGGGTAGAAAAAATGTCGACTGGTACTCCATGGACAAAAGATCTTGGAAATTTCTTTCATAGAAATTCGAATGGAGAGTGAAGACCCACGGTACCTTTTTATTTCTGTGGTTTCCTTCATTTTTTGCTTGTTTTTTGCTTTTAACATATATAGCTTTTTCCCTTTTTATTAGGGTTTGCCATTCGTGGCATCAACCCCGCAGTCAGGCTTTCTGTAATCTCTGCACAAGAGCGGATTTTGAGTGCATCTTTCCTCCAAGAGGAAAGCTGTTGAAGCCCGTAGGTCTGATGATGAATAGGATACCGAAGAAGGTTCCTTAGTGAGGAAACCGCGTGTCAGAAGGCACGTGGTTTCAGATGATGAAACCAAGGTCCCTCAAGATACACATTCAAGTTCAATTCCCTTAAGTCTCATTGATCAGCCGGAGAATGTCCCTTTGGATATTTCTGATGAAGACGTTAGTAACTTAGACAACCCTCCCTCAAGTCCTGTTGAAAGGTTATTCGCCCATGGCTTTGAGGGTGAAGAAGGACTCGGGCCTGTTTCCAAAGAGCTGTCACTTGCTTCTCTTCCAGTGTTGTTAGTTACACCTACTGTTAACCCCCCTTTTTCTTTGCCTACAGTTACCCCAATGGTTTTCCGCGCTGCTGCTCCTCGTGTAGAAGCTGAGCCTTATAGCAACAGGCGGGGTATGAAAAAAGTTTTGATTGAAGTCCCCGATGGTGGAATTTGTTGAAAAAATCAGGACAAGCTGATGTGTGGCTAAAACCGTTGCTAGGACCCATGGAAAAGAAGAAGCCGGAGGGTCAAAGTTCTTTGACCTTGATGAATGACATCATTCACTCTTCTCTTAAGGTATAACTTAACTTGCTTGTGTTCCTTTCCTTTTCTCATTCATAACTCCTCTTCTTTTGTCTTTTTATAGATCAATTTGATAGGTACAGAGCTTATGAAAAGGATTTCTTTGACTGATCAGCAGGTAGTTGAGTTGCGCACTGAGATTGACAACTGGAAAGAACAATTTGAAGGCCTTCAACTGGAGAAAGACGTTCTTGCGGAGGAGAAAGGAGCTTTGGAACAACAATCGAGGATGGTCTCTACATAACTAGCGGTTTTAGAAGCTTCTTTCAGTCAAGTTAAGAAAGAAAGGAACAAACCGGAATCCTTCTTTGATGAACAACATTCCAAGGCTACTGAAGAGATAAGGAGTTTGAAAGAGCTCCTTAATCAAAAAGAGGTTTACGCGGGTGATCTAGTATAGATGCTTACCCAAACTCAAGAAGACCTCCGTGCCTCCACAGATAAAATTCAGTTCCTTGAAAGTTCTCTTGCTCCTTTAAAGGCAGTTTATTAAACTTCGGAAGCAGAAAAAGAAGAGTTGAAAGCTGAGATCGAGCAGTGGGAGAAGGATTATGAAGCCCTTGAAGACAAATCAACACTTGATATTAGCTGGGCTTTTTTGAAAACTCGCTTCGAGACTTTAACCGAAGCTAGCCAGGAAGGTTTTGATCTTAATGCTGAGATTGCAAAGGCTAGAGAAACAATTGAACAGACTCAGCAGCGTCAAAGCTTCTCTACGCCCAAGGACGAAGGTTCCAATGGTGATGGAGATGGACTTATTCCTGGTGAAGCTGATGTTCAACCCTCTTCTCCTCAAGTTAATCCTTTTGCTCCCGTGGATGATGCTCCCTAGTTCTCCCCTTTCCTGACTTTTTGTTGGAAGCGTTTGTTTTTTGGTTTTTGGTTGGAATTCTCTTGTGTTTTTGGATAATTTTTGGAAGGTGTACCGCCTCTATTTTTGGGGTAATGATATAAATATCTTTATTGCTTTTGCTGCATATTATGTTTTCTACTCTTTGATTTTTTGAGCTTATTCTTGCACTTAAATGCTTTAGTAGACCGTGACTTCAATATGCACGGGTTTTTTATAAAAGACGGTCCTTTTATATTAACAACACTGATGAAGATGACGTCTCATCTTCATATTGGTGCAAAGATATCAAACATGCAGTAGATATGAAACAATAAGTAATTTGAGGAAGTTTTATTTTTTGAACTTTCAAATAAGTAGGTTTGTACACCATTTTCATAACTGTTCGTACAACATTTTCATAACTGCTTTCATTGTAGCATGTTTACAAATCTGGGTATAATTTTTTAGATGATGACTGCATAACCCTTTCTTCCATCAGAAAAGTTGTAACCTAGATCGGGAATAATTCGATATTCCATGTGTCTTTCGGGTCTAACATCATCATTTGGTACGGGCCAATTTGCCTATCATCTAAAATGGTTAGTAAAATTCAAATGAATAAAATAAAATCTAACTTGCGTGATACCTGACCGTAGGTATTAACCTCATTTAGAAGTAATACTTCTTCAGATGGACTCCATTCCAAGTTGATGGTAACACCTTTCCATCCATGGTTTCTAACTCGTACGCTCCTTTTCCAGCAATGCCTCTAACCCTATACGGACCTTCCCAATTTGGACTAAATTTTCCTGCATTTGTCGCTTTTGTTGACCTGACCACCTTTTTGAGGACGAAGTCCCCCATCTTGAAATACCTCAAGTTGGCTTTCCTGTTATAGTATCGTTCAATCATCTACTTTTGAGCTGCCATTCGAATTAGTGTTGCTTCCCTCCTTTCTTATGTTCCAAATTTACCCGTAACTCTTCCTTATTTGTTGCTTCAATGGTATGTGTGTACCTCATGCTTGGTTCGCTTATCTCCACCGGAATTAAAGCTTTCGTTTCGTCCATAAGTGAAAATGGGGTCTCGCCTGTACTAGTTTTCGCCGTTGTTCGGTAAGCCCATAACACCCCTGGTAGTAGTTCTGGCCATTTGCCTTTTGATTCTTCCAGTCGCTTTTTAAGTCATTCATGATAACCTTATTTGTTGACTCAGCTTGTCCGTTAGCTGCTGGATGATAAGGTGCGAAAGTAATTCGTTTAATCTGCTAGCTTTGGAAAAAAATGGTGACTTCCGCACCTATGAATTGTGGGCCATTATCACAGAGGATCTCCTTTGGAACTCCAAATCGACATATAATATTTCTCCAAATGAAATCCGTAACTTCCTTTTCTCGCACCTGTTTAAAGGCACCTGCTTCTACCTATTTTGAGAAATAATTCGTTAAAAATTAACAGGAATCGTACCTTTCCCTTAGCTTGAGGTAAGGGCCTTACGATGTCCATCCCTCATTTCATGAAGGGTCATGGTGATATAACTGAATGCAGCAGTTCCGTTGGTCGATGCATATTATTGGCATATCGTTGACATTTATCGCACCTGGCTATGAAGTTTTCTGCTTCTTCCATTTTGGCCAATAATATCCTCCCCTTATTAATGTCTTCACCAGTGATCTTCCCTTGACATGATTGCCATAATGCCTCTCATGTACTTCTCTCATTATATATTCCGTTTGTGACGGTCCAAGGCACCGTTCTAAAGGTCCACCAAACAATTTGTGATATAAATTTCCGCGAATTAAGCAGTACTGAGTAGCTTTCAACCATAACAATTGGGATTTCTTCTTATCCTCAGGCAAAATGCCACGCCAAAAGTTCACAAATTCGTTTCTCCAATCCCAAGTTAAATTATTGAGTTTACCTCATTCTTGGTTTGGTCGAGTGCTGAATGAAACAAATGTACCACAACAACATTTTCTATGTTTGTTGCATCAGCGATAAACGCGAGATTTGCCAACGCAACTGCTTCTGTATTTTCCTCCCTGGGTAACACAGCTTTCCATGTCTAAAATTGTCTAAGCAGTTATCGTACCTTTTAGAGGTATTGCCGCATTCATGTTCTCTTGCCACGTAAGTCCCTTGCATTTGATTAACTACCGGCTATGAGTCACTTTTGATCACAATTTTTTCAATACCAAGCTCTCATGCC